ATATTATGGTAATAAAAGGGGCAGACATTATAAGATTTATTCTTCTTCTGTTACCTTTCATTTTATTTTGATTTTTGATTTGCGTATTTTCTTTGCTTTCTGTTGTATATAGTTATTTTGTTTTTTAATGAAATGAATAAAGTATCAATCAATCAATTCTGAATTATTATTTCTTACTGTCATAAATAATAATAATAAATATTTACCAGTCAACACTTAGAAAGTGTTCTCCCAGTTATTGGATGAAACTTGTCTCTACTGATATTAGCTAAACATCTACTCAACAGGTCAGGTTCGTCTAATAAAAACCTAAGAATAGTTAAATATATGACCTAATCAGAGGACAAATCAGCCTAATATTTAATAGTTTGTGTTAAATTGTACCATGATTCAGCAGAGTGCTACATTCTGCTACACAAGCTAATATCTGCTGTAAGAACTCACTCTATGAAATTAAGGCCAGCTCAATTCCACAGAATAATATCTCACGCAAGATCTTTGCGTTATGAAATCAAAGTGTTCATATTTCTCAAAATAAAGTAATTTATTTTAGATATATGAACAGGATTAAACATACAAACATTTATTAAACATATTATATGAATAAATGACACAAGTTATATTTTCGACATATGAATTTCACCTCAGTGTTGACATAAACAGTAAATTTCAGGTGTTGTAACTTTACTGGCACGCTGCTTAACTAAGTTTTAAGTAAAAAGAGAATAAAGGTAAAGATTTAGCTTTAAGAATAGGAGGAAAGGAAAGAAATTAGTGAATTTGGCACTTGTTCTTTAAATTAGGACCAGACCAGCAAACAGCATGTCAGAACGAGACATCTCCGGGCTAGACTTCAGCGTCTTATCTCAGCAAACGTGTTTTCTACCTTTGATGTCTTCAGACAGGCCGAACAGGCAGGCAGGTAGAAGATTTTGAGAGTGACCGCCTCGTTAAGTCCRCAGATGGATGATGTCTCCATGACAGCAGGGGGTTGAGAAGACCCTTCCGTCTCACCCCTAAGGAGCCTCCAGGCTCTCGGTGCTGGCCGCCTCAGAACAGTCGCTTCGTGGCAGTTAGTGACATTCAGACTCCATCCACACAGGCAGGTGTCCAGAGACGGACATTACTTCTCAGAGAGAGACCCAGTCAGAACCATCCTCTCTCCAACAAGACACGAACAACTGACTAGTGTTAACTGTCTGAACAGAAAAGATTAGTTTCTTGAGAGGAGAGAAAAAAGAGGTGAGAAAGAAAATAATCTTTCTTTCCCAGCCTGGCGTGGCCAGCTGCGAGTTGTTATCAGCAAAAACCTTGGAAGTCTGAAAAAGGCAGACTAAACTGGTGGACTTAGAAATCACTTCACTGAGGTTATAAGTCACACCTTTGCACCAATGGATTAATAGTACATTATAATTAATCATTAAATCAAATTAAAAAATGATAAAACCATGATTAATAAACCAGTACTAAGAAAAACATTAAAACACATTTCAACTCTTTTCCCTTCACAGTGTTATACTCTGGAACAAAGAGATATGCAAAGATTAATTCAATAAAACTTTGAGTAATGATATATTGATTATAACCTCTAATAGAAGATTAAATGAAAAAACATATAGAACATATTGTTTCATTCACTTTAAAGAAAATAAAAACAAACTTTAAAATGACTTTCTTCTTATAAGTGTATAA